TTGCATCGGTAGGGGACTATTTTGAAGGCGATGAAATCAATGTAGACGAATAAATGAAGATTTTTAATTTACCAAACAAATTCACCTTGCTTTTCGCCCACACTAGTACATAAGGTTTTATGAATCGTATTTCCTGAAAGGCTAAAATCCACTGTCAACAAACTGTCTTGCCGTTATCAGTGAAGCTTCTTTTGAAGTTGTAGCTAATTTCGTCCAAGCAGGAATTACCATTAACACCTTAATAATGTCAGTCTTGAGGTACAACGCTGAATGCCTTTTACCAACAGGTGTTATTTTAGATTGAGTAGAAAAGAAAGGTTTTGATGGAGAACTACGGTCCCTTGCACATAGCCAACAGCAAATAAAACAGTCGATGGAACGAAGAACTGTGCAAGATATACGATGACATTTACGTTAGATGACGAGGAAGAAGTAGTTACTGTCCACAAAGTCAGGGCCTAGACAATGTCTGTCTGGTGCGAACATTTCAGTTTTGTGTCAGCTCTGTGAAAGCTTAGCGCTAGTGCAAAGTCCTTTTGCCGCAGTTTACATGCAGCATACTATATGGACCCAGGATCAGGGGAAACCACTACAAAGCTTTCATCTGATCTATCCTACTTTTTTTAAGCCGAGTATAAAATCCTTAACAAACACCGTTGAGCTAAAAAGGGTTTGGGGTTTCCTTGGTCGCTCGCGAGCTGCTAGCTCCAGAAAAAAAACATATCTTTCATGGCGACTAGTTCACGGAGTGCTGCGTTGCTTATCGCGCGATTTTTCCAAAGAAAAACAAGCTATTTAATTAAATTTCCTACTTTATTCAAAAAAGAGAGTATTTCATTTGACTAAAAGCTTCCTTCAACTCTATAGAACTGCCTTAAGGGAGTAATAAATTAAAAGCTTCGTAAATTCAGTGCTTACACTTGAAAATAAAAAATTTCCCAATAAAAAAAGCCTGACAGCCGAATAAATAAACTTGAGAATCAGTCATGCCAACACATTGACACAACAAGTCTAAACACAATGGATGCTTCAACAGCAACGAGTGATAGCAATGACTGCAGCAGTGAGGAGAGCACCAACGGCACTAATGGCAGCAGTATTGCAATAACAAAAACAGCAATAGCTAGCAAGAGATAAAATATTGTTTCTGACATGTCTGCAATTGAATCAGTTGGAAAGTTTGCCATCCACAGCGCAACGGAATGCATTAGAATAACTGACACGCAGTGACGTAGAGGATCATCAGCACTGCGTTTCGCAATGCGAAGTGACAGAAAAGAATTTCCGCACATAGAGTACAAGTATGTATTGTACATGCAGTGGGGGGAGTGAGTAGGGATCAGGCAAAACTGAAGCACACTTTTGGCTAAGTACAACCAGCAGCGAGAGGCAAAATTTTGTTGGCATTTGAGTTGTTCTGGCTGTGTAGGAGGATTTGGTCTGTTTTGAGAATTTTAACCGAAATAGAAAGTTGGAACGATAACGGCAAAATAATTAGCTTCCATGAACCTACAGCTAAAAATTCTTTCACTGAAGATTTTAGTAGATATTTGGTTTTAATTAGATTTCAGAGATATTATTTTTGTGCCTTTGACATTTCCTAATTAAACTACATATATACAACTGCTTTTGGAACTAAATGAATGAAAAAAATTGAATCATTAATATCGTAAATAAATTAAAGCGAATTTAAAATTTTAATTTAAATATTAGATTTAATTTTTATTTTATTATTGGCAGCCGCGGTAGCCAAGTGGTTACCATTGTGTACTGCCATCCGGAAGGCTTGTGTTCAAATCCTCTTGCGACCAACATCCAGAAGTTATAGAAAATTAATTTAAATAAAAAATTACGGAAAACTTTCGAGTGTATTTCTGACATGAATTAAAAGACGGCCTAGTATTAACTGTAGTTCTCTCCATTTGTTGGAAAAACGTCAAGACGCAAAACTAATTAATTTAATTTTAATTTTAATTTTAATTTTAATTTTAATTTTAATTTTAATTTTAATTTTAATTTTAATTTTAATTTTAATTTTAATTTTAATTTTAATTTTATTTTAATTTTAATTTTAATTTTAATTTTAATTTTAATTTTAATTTTAATTTTAATTTTAATTTTTATTTTTATTTTTATTTTTATTTTAATTAAATCATTACAATAATGAAAGAATTAAAGATATCTGAATATATTTTATGTGCGTTGAGAGGTTTCGTCTAATTGAATTGCAAAATGAAACAAAAACTCAATACAAATTGAAAATCCTACAAATGACCGAAGAATTTCCATTAAAATCCAATATTGTGAAACTTTCTTGACTGAACCTGAAAAAAAATTTATTTTTGTTTTCTTAAATATATTCCAGAATTTGAGCGATATGTAATGTATTTTTCAACTTAATAAGTACAAGTGCATATACGCAACAAAGCCAAGTAGTTTACCAGCAAACCCTTCAACTTTTCAGTTGAGCAATATCTGCTTACCACACACTCCTCAAATACGCAAATGCTCATACATACATATACTACTTATATGTACTCGTTCTTCTCAGGAATACAATAGCTCATGATGCTCATCGAGTACATATGATTAAGGCGGTCACAGCTGCGTAATGTGACTGAGCACATACACTTGAATTGTGAGCAAAAATGCATGAATTTATATGTATGTAGATATATGCACAAGTGCAACACGAAGTTCAAAGCAAAAATGCAAATATCTCGTAAATTACTTTTTGTGGTTTCCATGGCAAAAAACACGTATGTTACATACATCATGATGGAATCTAGTTCCCAATTGAAATCATTTTATGAGTGTGTTCTAGTGGAGTTTACTATAAAAAACAAAAAAAAAACTATGATTAAATCGATGCTAATTTGAATTAGTAATTAAAAGCCAGTATGCCATTGGTCTGTATAAATATCTAAACTGAGACGTATCTGATAACTGAATACGCCGTACATACTCGTACACCCGAGCTAGACGCAGATAATCTATGACAAAAGTAGCAGACGCATACAAATCTTCAAAGAAGGCGCTAAAAGAATCCATTGTGTTGAGCACGAAAACAGAAATGGGAAAGCCGCACCAAGAACTAAAAAGTGATCCTTGAGAACTTGGCTATCAAGTTGATATGGGCCAACTCGGTGGTGAATCCCATACGTCTGAGCTGGAAGAAGATACATGGAAAGCGGATAGCTCATGAAGTCCCACTTATTTTCTGGGAAAAAAGCCCCTTGCCGCTGGTGTGCTATTAAAAGAGAACAAAGAGCCCAACGCCGATGGATTACCGACTAAGGTATCAAAGCATTACCTGACGGATACTAGCAAAGCCTCTGGAATATTGTCTGCGAATGAACACGGTGTCCCACCCGAACAGTGCTCGGTATGCGCCCAAGAGCGCAATAACTATTACTCCAAAACGGTCCTATTAGCTATGCTGGAAATTAGAAATGCCTTCAACAGCACCAGATGGACAGACATAAAATGCGCTCTGGAATCTCATTCATGAGACAAAACACTGAACACTGTGTATAAACATGCCAGATGACTATACACAAGTCGGCTATCCAAATGATGTGACAGCCGTCTTAACATGCAGGAAGCACAATGGAAGCTAAATCAAATAATGATCAGAGCGGCAGCTTGAATCGACTATAACGGCCTCAAGCTAGCAACGGAAAAGACAAGTCTCCTACCGCTAACCAACCATAAAGTCCGAAAAAAAACAACAGTCAAGTATATGTGCATGATGTTTGACTCTAGACTGAAGCTCTGGGCACAACAAGAGTATGTCAATACTACAGCAGCATCGGCGGTCTAGGGGAAACAGAGCGAAAGCTACTTGTGACAGGTGCGTTTAATAAGAAGCAATATCAAAAGAAATAGCTGTCAGTGCAAAGGGCAGGCCCTCTACCTCTACGTATAGCATCAGCATAGCGGACAGTGTTTACGGACACAGTGCTAGTTCGACCTACTCGATAAAGAGGAGTAAAGGATATGGCAGTAGATGTCGTCAACCGACCGGAAGCGGGAAAGCAAGTCCTCACACAATGACAGTATAGGCGTAATGACGCTACACCTGGATGATGGAAAGTGGCAAAACTGTTCAGGTGGCGATATAAATTACTACCTCACACAACTTCTGCCGAAAGTCCCTACAAACAAAGTGCAAAGTGAAAGAACCATTATGTATTGACGCTTACGGCGCTGATGTCGGTGCAGAGCACACATTTTTCCAATTGGAAACCAGAGAGAGACTCTCTCGAAACATAGGTGGGGAAAATGGGAACACATAAAGTGATACACAATGTTATGAGCAAAAGAGCGGGATCTGGACGCAAGCACAACAGAAGCCTCAAACGTATGAGAAATATGGAACGCGACTCCAAAATAATAAGAAAGTGATACCAAGGTTTTGTAGCTCTTTAGTTTTCGGACATAGCGCTGTGGCGTCGGCACAGTGACGTTGCATTTTTCTGACCCCACCCGCGAAAAGAAATTATTCATATGAGTTTTACACCTTTTCATATTTAACACGTTTTCATTTTCTTAATAAATATGTCACAGGGATGGATACAAGTTTATGTCGCAAATTGAGTACACTATGAAGGTTTGTACTCATGGCATTCACTTTTCTTAAAATTGAAGATTAAGATTTATTTGAAATTTACAAGTAAAAAAAATTATGTTACGTATACGCAGTGCCGCATCGAAATTCATTTCATGGAAAATTCTTAACTCTGCTGAACTTCCCTAAATGAATTTAGATGCAACACATGTGCAGTTATAAATATATAATATATATAAATATACAATATGTATGTGATTCGTTTGCCGCCAATAATCGTACTAACTCTAAGCTGCTTTATCGGTGGTCACCATAAATATTCATACGTGGCAAGTCAACTTCGTTACTGGCAACCATATAATTATGAATAAATTAAAATATTAACATATGCATATACAAAATAATTTATTTACTGCTGTTGCACACTTACCTTTCGCTTGGAACGCGCCATACGTTGATCGCGTGTATTTTCCGCCTCACCAGGCGGTCGTTTGCCCCAGACCGCGTATGCGATGCGTGCGTAGGTGAAGATCAGCACCGTTACTGGTAATATAAACTGCAGTGTCATTAACGCTAAAGTATAAAAGTAATTTTGTTCACTGGAAGGCCACTCCTCATGACAAATGTATCTGCAACACGCGAAAGGTTTATGGAGAGAAATAATTTATTATTAAATTATTGCTAAACAATAATTAATATAAAAAATATAAGCAATTTAACTGTGACAGTGAATAGCAAAATAAATAAACAGCAAAAATCAGCTCGGCTCTTCACCCACGTCTATGGTTTGAAATTACATAGACAAAAACATTGCGCCTCTCCTCGGATTGCAACGACATGGTAAATAGTTGGGCTAAAGAGTGGAGACGATGTGACAATATGATAAAAATTAAGTTCTGATATGCATTCTTTGGTGCAGCTTTGAACTCTTTTAGGAATTTGTTTTTTTTTTTTTGCTTAATAGCCATTAGCTACAAACAATGTATTTTCGCAACCTTTTTTAATCCTGGAAATCTCAGGTGATCGAATTTGGTGGCTGACACATGGTTGTAGTTGAAAGTATTACAAAATAAGCAATGACGAGTAAGCAGGTGCATTGTTATAAACTGTAGGACCATGACAACCTCCCATGCTCTTTTTCTTCGAACGATTGGGGTTTGGTATCAATACAAAAAGCATGGCTTATTGAAACAAGCAACTTCCAAAAGACGTTCCTCTACATTTTTTGAACAAAATTCAACGTTTCCTCCTACCGCAAAAAATGTGTCCAACAGAAAAAAATTTCTTGGCACAGAAAACGCTCATCGTTTGCCTTTGCCAACATTTTTTGCTTGTTTTTATAAACCTAATTAAAGTGTTTACACAAAAAATGTACTGAAAACTTTTTTACCCATTTTTCCAACAGCAAGAATTTACCATAAGTAATTTCACATTATGCGGGATTTCATAACAAATTATCAGATGTACAACTTTACTTCCGCCGTTTTATCCAAAATAAAAAGCTTTATTGCAAAAAAGTGCTTACAGATATATTATTCAAGGTGTTGTCCTTCCCTAGCGATAACTTTATCCCATCTTTCCGGCAATTTTCGGATCCCGTCTCGAAAAAAGGAGTTCTTTTTTGACGCTTTCCATGAAGCAATTCATTTTTCCAATTCTTCGAAGGATTGAATATGTTAATCTGCCAGGCCGTGTGCCATCGAACGGAATAGGTGGAAGTCAGGAGGGGCAACATCTAGAGAATACGGCGGGAGCGGCAAGACTTCCCATTTCAGCGTTTCCAGGTACTTTTTGACCACTTTTGCGCATGAGGCTGAGCATTGTTGTGTTGGAGGATGACTCAGAGCAGCATCACCGTAAGTTTCTGAGAGCATTCGATACGCTTCAGCTGCATTTTTTTTTCGAATTGTAACAGAAAAATAAAACTCCCCGCAAATGGCGAGAATTAGGCACATAAACGGACATTTTCGAGCGTGAATAATACGAAAACAAGAACAACTGTCACTGAAACGGCAATGACAATTCGTTAGGCACTGTCCACACTCACTTTAAAGGCATTATCATCTATGTATTTCAACCAGCCGCAGCCGGTACAGCCACCTACCGGAAAACGGCAGAAGCAAAGTTGTAAGCCTGATATATTTTCCAATCCGTATTCTGCTACGACTTCAATTATTCGTATTTAGTAATAGACGATTTTCAAGAAGGATTTTTAATTTTATTCCTGCGACTTTTAGGCCAAAGAATTTTGCGTGGTGAGTCTACGTTGCCTCCTCGCGCGTTGGCAAACCGTTCAAAGTGCACCGGATCCCCTAGTATCTACATATAATTGATACTTTATAAACACTCAAGCTAAGGGGTGATCCATTTCGAGGTTTCCCAATTTTTTAAAGAAGAAACCAAAGAAAATTCAAGCTTAATGGAAAATATTTATTATAATTTCAAAGAACATTATTTGGCATTTATTTTTGAAAATTATCTCTTTCAAATCCTGGTTCAACCAACATTTAAAAATTTATATAGAAAATAATTTAAATAAAAAATTAAGTAAAATATTCTAATTGCTAACGCCCCTCGGCAGGGTATGATCAAGCCCTCCGAGTGTAATTCTGACATGAAATAAGGCTCCTCGTAAAAAAACCGTCAGCCGTTCGAAAGCGGCTTAGTATAAAATGTAGGCCCCTCCATTTGTTGGAAAAACATCAAGACGCAACAATACTAATTGGAGGGGAAGTTCGGCGGTCACAAAGTGCCAATTATATATAAACTTTAGGATTTACATATACACAGGAAAAAGTCTAACGGTGTGATATCACACGGTGGCCAATCGCGCACCTCAATAAATCCAGTGATTGACGACATGTGTGGAAATCGGCATCGTCTCGTTGAAACCAAATGTCGCCGAGAACGCGAGTTTCAATTTCAGGCATCGAATAGTCGGTAATCATGGCGCAATGACGGTACCCATTAATGGTTACATTCTCACCAAACGTAACGGAAAAAATATGGGCAGATGATTCTACCGGATGGGCAGATGATTCTGGATGTAATGGCAGCTCTTATATCTCTTGAGAATGCTTTTTTCACAAAAGCGACAATTTTGCTTGTTGATATACGCATAGAGCTAAAAATGGGACCCATCGCTGAACAATATTCGCCTCTAAAACGTGGGATCTTCTTGAAAGCTTTCAGGATCCCATAGAGCGGAGCGTTGTCGTTCGGGACGGTCGTGCGGCTTTGGTTCTGTGTTCTATATGCTTTCACTTTAAGATATCGACGTAAAATGCAGCAAATCATTCCATACGTCAGCCCGACTTGCTGTGAACGTCGCCGAAACTTAGTCTTTATACAAGTACTATCACTTACGGTCGCCACTTCTATGCGCTGCATGCTGGACGTGGTATATTCGGTCGAGATGATGGGTGATTGTGCTGCGAATAGGACGCTCAGTAGGTCGATTATTTGGACGAAGGTCGCCAAATACATTCTTTACAGAACTTGAATATCCGTAATAAAGTAGAGCGGTTCGTAAACGTTGTTCCGGTGTAAGACTTTCCATAATGAATCGCAAAAAAATACTGAACCAAATTAAGAAGGCGACTTCACCCAACTCACGCGTGATCTGTGGAAGAGAAATAGAATTACTCGTCACTACTGACCGAGTTCCTGCTCCAATTTGCGTATCACGTCTTGAATTTGTTCCGAAAAGTGCAGGAGCTTACAATTGGTTTGCAGCCACCAGTGAAGAGCTGTTGGATTTCTATAGGGATTTTTGTTTCTTTTATATCAGAAAAATAAGCGCACGGGTTGACATTCCTTGCCGAGGATGGAAGTTGCTCTGGATTCGAACACGTGACCCTGCGAAGGGTAAAATTAGCTGTTGAATACGTGGTGAAGGTGTATTACTTTGCAGTTCGACTTTTTTCTCATTCAGTTCAAAAAAATGCGCCACTGAGTATTATTATTGTCATTTTCAGAATATAACAGTATGAAGGACATGTTGGGGAATTTGTCAAAATTCACGTGAAGCAAATTGCATTTTGTGGTTTTCTGCAGCGTACAGTTTACAAAATTCTGCATTGTTTACCATATCTCATACATCAGTCGCAAAAACCAAAAACCTTACCGCCCTGTGTTGGAGTGTTTCATAGAAATTGCGGCGGTGGAAGTGCAGCTGTTACAATTTGTTATCATTTATTTGCCTCTGCTTTGAATTTCTTCATGTTTACCTTAAAATTTCAGTGCACAACTCATAAACGGTATCTTTTACAGCAACAAAATAACGATAATTTATTTTTTTCTTTTTTCAATCTGTCTGTAACTTTCAGACGAGCCTCCACCATATGTTTTCATTTTATTGATTGTTTTTTTTTACTCTCGAACGCCGCCTGGTTGCTGTTGTTGTGCTGTTGCCGTTACTGACTTTTGCTGTCGTAGTCTCTACTTTGTCTCTTGACTAATGGTGACACCAGAGTTGAGTTACAGCGATTTACAAAGCGCAATTAAAATGTTAAATGTGGTTTGTGCACGGGACATTTAAAACTTTCAGCTCCAGTTTGTTTACTTTTAAGGCTTTTGTTATTGTTATATTTCTCTTTTGTGCACTTGTTTGCCCTTTAGCAAGCTATTTGGAACACAAGATGCTGTGCTGCGGCATAAATTATACCAAAAAAGGGAAATTACGCCATCTAATAGGGTTATTATTTCAAATTAAAATTCAAAGGACCTTGACTCAGTGCACCTGCCACAGTTGGTTTAGGGCAAAATTTTATGAGAACTGTTTAATAATAATTTTTGTATTGTGCTTGAAAGAGGTATGACGGACGGTACAATGATAGAGGCGTATGGCTCTAAGCGTAATTTAAATCAGCGTTTATATGAAGGAATGCCGATTTGGTGATGGATTTGTGGTAGGAGAAAGACTCCGTTGCCGCCATACACCGACGGGGAAGAAAGAAATTGTGACCAAGGGCGATTTCTTTGTTAAATCGAGTTGATGTCGTTGCTAATTTATTTAGAATTCAAATGGAGGAACCTATATTTTATACTAAGCCGCCTCCAAACGACTGATGGTTTTTAAGAGGAGCCTTTATTTCATGTCCGAAATACACATTCCCTGTCTGCTGTCTGCTACCGCAATTAGAAAATTTAGAATAATTTTTTTATTTATATTAATTTTCCATAACTTTTGGAGGTTGATCAAGCCTTGCTTCGTATCGTGGCCTTCCCGTTGGTCAAAGCTCGGTTATTCTGGGGGTATTTAGGTGGTCGAATTTCTGTTAGTACAGATCCGAATTAGGAGTTAGACTGTAGGAGAGCATCGTATAGAGAACGATTCATCGCCAAAAATACAACCTTCCTTGCCATCAATCCATGTTTTGATACCGCTTGTCGGTACAACTGCTCCCTGCCTTTTGACCACGATCATTTTGACTCGACGTAACTGTTAGTGATATGACTCGGCAGGGATTTACAATAAAAAATTTGACCATAAGTAACCAAATAAATTTTCTTCTTGCGGTCGCCCCTCGTCAAGAAATGTCAACCCCTCCAATTGTACTTACGCCATGAAATAAAAGCTCCTCATAAAAATCCAGCAGCCGTTCGAAGGGGGCTAAGAACAAACTGATGTTTGTCGGAAAAACATTAAGACGCATAACGCAGATCCCAAAGACATCCACCTGCGAGGATTTTGCCAAACTGTGCAATTTCCACATCTTAGCTCCGCTATCTCGCTCAGGTCTCCAAAAGTTGCGGCCCCTGAATACTTCAGCCTCCTCCAAAGTGCGGGGCATTCGATTCCGATGCTTCTTTCTGGATGCAACTTTTGCAGGAATCATTAAATGACACGCCCAATCTCTCTGCATGCCTGCCCTATAAGATAGGCCCTTCCTTTTCAACCTGATAAGTTCACGTGACTTTCTACTGCCATATTTCCCTGGCCACATTACATGCGTTGTGACTTCTCCATCTTAAGTTAGAGTCATTGATGAATAACTCTCTTGTATTGAGCTTACAAGTGGAGAGCGGCATACCCAATACTCTTCTTTGATGGCGGAAGTTTAATGGAAGTGCCCTTCCTTGCAAGCTCGTCCGCCATCCCATTACTCGGTATGTTACTGTGACCCGTGATCCATACCACTGATCTGGGATAGTTGACAGTTCCATGTATGGTAACCACTTCCGCCTGCGAAACCCTACAGTGATCTGGTAAGCGAAAGGATTTACAGATACCAACCCCCTTTGTGTAAACCTCTCAACCGACCCTGTTGTCTAGTTTTGACCCATCGAGCCGGTGCTTGCTGGTCTTACCCTGTTCCAAAGGTCTCCATCCGGGATAGATACCTTGAAAACTGCCGTGAAGTCAGTGAATGATATGGAATAATCTCTTCTTTCAGGTATACGGAATCTTCTTATGATGTTAGTGTGCCCGTGGTCTATAACTATTAATTCAGACACCTTTTACAGCCTTACCGTGGCACAAGTACCGTTGGGATATACAACAATACATTTTGTCAACGGGGAGTAGGTCTAAGAGTACCTTCATTGCCTCAGCTGGTGTAGTCCGAAGTGCTCCGCTGATGCATAGGAGCGCTGCCCTTTGTACTTTAACGAATTTGGAAATATTTGCCACCAAATTGCAACCCTATGGAGTAGTATAGGCCTAATCACTTTGATATAAAACTAATGCCCCATTTCCGGCCGATCGTTCCCTTGTGGGTATAAAGGCCAATGGATGCCTTTCAAATGTCTTCCTCTGAGTTCTGTGACCAGCCAAATTTCCTGTTCAGGTTGAGTCCCAGGTATTTCGCAGACTCACCAATGCGCAGGTCCGCTCTGAGGTAGTTGGTGTTGTAAGTTAGCGAGCTTTATTATTCCTAGGGTAAAGAAAGACTTCAGTTTTCTGTGGGTTGATGCCCAGCCTAACACCAATGATTTATTTTTTTATCCTTCTCAGTCTGTTTACATGATATCCGTCCGCATATGGTATGACGCTACAACCTCCCTCCTCCCCCATATATCACAGTAGTTGATTTACTGCCTAAACTCATAGAAAGTAAAAAGTTGGTTCGGATTTTTATTGATTTTACAAAATATGATAACTTTGTGTACATTTGTCTGATTTAAATCAAACATGCGCCGTTTTGTTCGTAACCAACGAGATGCCAACTTCATTATACCCCTCTCGTAGAAGGCTGCGTTCCTATTGGCAAAAAAACTCGGAGAGCCAATTTTTACAGGCCTCTCTTGAGGCTAACTTCTCACCATTAAGCGCGTTCGCCGTGAACAAAAAAAGATGGTAATCACTTGGTGCCAGGTCCGGACTATAAGGTGGGTGCATTAGGACCTCCCTTCCGAGCCTCTGGAGCTTCTGGCGCATCACCAAAGGCGGGTGTGGCCTGGCGTTGTCCTGATGGAACACTATTCGTCCTCTGTTCATCAAAGATGGCCTCTTCAGGATGAGTGCTGCCTTCAAGTGGTCCATTTTTTGACAGTAGAGAGCCGAACTAAGCATTTGGCCATAGGGGCGCAGGTCGTAGTAGATGATTCTCACTTCCCACTAAGCACACGGCAAAACTTTCCAGGCCGTCAATTCAGTCTTGGTCGCCGTCTGGGCTAATATATGTATATATATGTAATATTTAAGTCCTACGGACAACAGCAAAAACTTATTTTTACACTAGAATTTCTATTCTCTCAGCGAATATTTTTCATTAACCAACTCTTTTTATGTCCGGCATTAGCTCAGCGATCAAGCAGAGAGCAAACTGATTGCGTTTTATGCATAGCAGTTTTTGGAAAATTTCTAAGAGCATATGTGCATTTCGATGGCGGAAAACATAACTTATTTACAATGTAGTGTAAGCTTAATGAAAGAGAATTTCATTTCTCTAAGCGACATTGTCAGAAAATGACGTCCACGCTGAATATGCACTTAATCAAAACATTTCATTTTGCAGCGAATAAACTGAGTAAATGCGCATATTTTTCAAAACAACACCATCGCGGCTTAGTGACGGCATACAGCGGCATAGATAAATTTCTACGGAAGAGGATCGCACTAAAAGAAGCTGCACTTCTGCATGGGAATGTATAAATATTTTTTCACAAGAAATTTTATACAAATTTTTGTAATAAAGTTTTTAAACAAAGTAGTATTTGAACACTTACATATGTGCCTTAAATGCCGTTTGTGATGAGAAGACATACTTATAAGACAATCTTTGCTGATAAAACATACATTTCTGTAAAATTTTTCCTTTGCCTGTTTAAGTTTTGGTCAATGATTTCTCGGAGTATTTAAATTCCGCCTGCAGATGTGCCTGCGACAAGTGAAGCATCTACTCGCATTCCCCATAGCCCAACCCCACCAACTGCGCGCTCAACATATGGTTGTGTCAACGTGGGAGCAACATAAAGAATATGAGCTTTTCCTACTGTCAAGTGACTGCGTATAAGAGTGTTTGATGGCATTTATGTAAATAACTAAAATACTCACAGCTACAGTAACTTGAGTAGAGCAGTAAGTAGGTGGAAAAAAAATGTGAAAAGCGCTACGACAAACAATTTTATAGCACACCAAGCATTCACGCTTTTATTTTTTTATATGATTATCTATTATGAAGGATGGTTTTGTATGTATTTTCTTCTTTGAGTTTAGTGCTTCTCTCAGCTTGCCACAAGCAAACATAATAAATGCGTCATTTTTCGCAAATCTGCGCTCAACTTCATAAATAAAATTTAAATTTAGTGTGGAAATTTATTTTTTTTTATAGACTTTCAACCATACGAGATCCCACAGGTTTAAATTTATAAAGAATTTCCGCATTTATTTAATTTTATACCTGCCAGTGAAACACTGCGTATACGTAACCAAAATGAATTCACTTGTAGAGCTAAATTTGGCATAACTTTGAATGGATTAAATTTGTGCGAAAATTTATTTAAGTTACTCCCTTAGAATATTAAATTTTTAAAAGAAATTGAAAGTCACAAAAATTCTGTGAATATGCTGATTATATTTAGCTCTTTTTCAATAAAATTTAAGAAAAAAGGTAAAAATTCTAGCAGCTTTTAGAAAAGCAGCTGGTGACTTTCAATTTGTTTTTGTTAAAACTAAAAATACCAAATCCTTTACAGTTATATTTTTAACTAATTATATCCAATAACCAAACACCAGTCCATGGTATAGAGCCCAACTGGGACAAACCCACCCATAAAAACTGTTTCTTACATTCAGCAGCAAAGCTAATGATGCCAGTTTACTTCACCCGACCTAAAATCGTAGCTGCCATTCCACTGGAAAAAGGACGAAAACTGCAATGCAGTTAGTGCTGTACTTGGTAAGTCTAGAAAGAAAAATTTTAAAGACTCTTTTCAGAAGTGGATCTATAGGCTTAAAAATTGCATCGAAAAATACAAAAACGATTTTTTTTGCGTTTCTTTTTCGGGTCAACTTACCGAACTTTTGTTAATCCTCTCGTAGATTTGTACATGCACATTAACGTCACACATTTATTTAATCTACTTAAGATGGAATTCCCACCAGTCTTTTCGAAATGGTAAATGACAGTTGGGACAGTAGGCTTTAAAAAATGTATATGAAGACCACCTACACCGTCATAATTTACCAAATGTTGGAATGAGCATAAATACATAAATCTAATTGTGCACACCACACACTTTAACAAGCAGAGCTTGTGGCATGGACATTTCTGAATATTTTATTTAAAAAGTTACATTTCTCCCACAAATATTTGTCTCTTTAAGAATTATTTAGATAAAAAACACACAAGGAAGTACTCGTATATTTTCATGTAACATGCCATAAAATTTATAAATTTATATTAGTATAAAAATAAAAATAAAAATAAATATAAATATAAATATAAATATAAATATAAATATAAATATAAATATAAATATAAATATAAATATAAATATAAATATAAATATAAATATAAATATAAATATAAATATAAATATAAATATAAATATAAATATAAATATAAATATAAATATATTTATTGTACATATAAATCTCTATTTAATTTCCACTTACCTATTACACACTACAAAAAATGACGCCGGCTGCGATAACTTGGACATTATCAGTATGGGCACTGCTGTCGCCAGGGCTATAGTCCAAACGCCAGCAATAACGAATTTCGCAATTCTAGAAGAAAGTAATATATATAAATGTATGTATGTATGTATTAAGAAATAAATCAGTGTAGCAGACAAAGAGAAATTGGTTGTAATAAAGAACACGCAGATATTAGCGACACTTAATCTACTGTACATATTCCATGAGGATATTTATTAACTTAGCTCAAGCATTGCAAATAAATTATTAAATCTACGAGTGTATGCATACACGCTTGACTGAATTAAAGCAGCTTTCTGCGGAGGATACTATAAAAAATACAGTTTCCTAAAAATAAGTTATTTTAGTTTTTATTGAAGCATGGAAATACAAGTTTTCTTATGAATTACGTTTAACCGCTATCAGAAGCCACTATGGTATGTTGATTTTTTTAATTTGTTTCGCTTTAAGCACCCATATTGTTGAAGAAATGTAAACTTTATTTAATAAATTTACTAAAATATTCAATGTTAGAAAAGCATTTCAAAAATTGCATCGCCACAATAAGTAGCAAAACCTTTGGCTCCATCATCCATAATTTTAGCATTAAATTCTATTCTTTGTCTATCACAATTAGAATTATCCGACTTCTGCCAAATATGCACTGTTTTACTCTGAAGCTTTTTGCCATTTTGAAATGTATAACAACATTGTAGAACGGCATTACAACTTGTCACTAATCTATGCATACACTGATTTATTTCTTAATGGCCGAAAAGGAATAGGAAGAGATCACGAAATATGTAAGAGGTGGCATTGGTAAAGTAATAGTAATTCTGACATGCCACTGTCTGATAGGACGACAGACGGAAAGACCAATAAAAGATGTTGCAGAAGCTGCAGGGACGATGGAGAAAAGGAACTTTCTGCTTTGAGTAGGGCTAGGTTTCGGAATTTTGGAACCCTACTGCTGGTTTGTCTATCGAAGGTAGTTGATTTCAAAGTTAGATTCATGACTGATGAAAAGGCTCATGAAGAAACCTGATGTTAAAGTTTTTGTGGTATCACAATAGGTCTTAGTCAGGCCTAAGTGAATCCGGCTCGAAAGATCGGTAGCTACTACTACCTAACCCACCCCTAACTCCTGTAGCACCCACATATTGACCTACTTACACTACACTATTGCAAAAATAATGGATTTTTTTTTAGTAGTCCTCATTCTCCTCCTCCAATTTGTGGTTTTGCGTCTTGATGCCCTTCCAATAAATGGAGGGACCTACAGTTTGTACTAAGCCGCCTTCGAACGGTTGATGGTTTTTTTTTATCAGGAGCTTTTTTCATGTTATAAATACACTCCACTACCAAATATTCAGCTTTGAAAGTTCTCGATGCAGTACACGCTGGTTAAAAAAACTTACTTTTCATTGGAAGGATCAGTTAAACAGCGAGCTGGTTTCACTTCATATTCGCAACTGACACCAAACAGCGAAAAGAAGAATTAATTTTGATTCGGCTATAAAAGCGTAACAGCAAGTCAATGAGCAAGATATTTATGGGACGATCGTGGGGAATAGGGAGCTACAAACTTATTCACCGGCTGGTCTGAGTTTAGTGTATAAGCCATGGGTTCTCCACAGCATTTAGGTGGTCTTTATTACTTCAGAGAATTATTTCAACCAAAAAGGAGGGGTTTCATATTTATAAGCTTGCAGCAAAAACGTAAAAAAATATATAACTTTTTCACTGTTGAATCGCAAGAGTAAAAAAAGAGAGATTATTTCCTGTATTTTGATTACCCTTAAAATTGTTTCATTAAACACTAAATTCGCTCTCTCTTTATATATTAATCAAGCAAAAAGTTCGTTCGGTGTTTATCTAAGAGATGGCGTATTGTCCATAGTACTAGTGCTACGTGTCGCATCATGCCATACTATACGCTGCTGAAAACGTCTTTATTCGCACTAAAAGTTTGTCCTTAAGTATTATTCGATTGATTGACTCAGTACGTTGTGAGCGCTCGTCAAAGATGGACACCAGCGAAGAGAAAATTCGCCATATTTTACAAATATTTTGCAAATCGTTGCTGAATCGCAACAAAAACGACCCGTTTCAGAAGCGAATTGTGATTGTGAACAACATCGAGCGCAAACGGTCGTTGTCAAAGCTCGGGGAAGCGGCCAGAAGATTTTGCTGTGTGTTTGGTGGGATTGGCAAGGAATTATCTACTAAAAGCTGCTTCCCTATGGCGAAACGCTCAATTCCTCTACTACCAACAACTGGGCCGCTTGACGGCAGCACTCATCCAGAAGAGGCCATTTTTGATCAACAGAGGCCGAATTGTGTTCCATCAGGCCAGGTCTCGCACGTCTTTGGTAACGCGCCAGAAGCTCCAGGAGCTCGGAAGGGAATTCTTAATGCATCCACTTTATAGTCCGGACCTGGCACCAAGTGATTACCATCTTTTCTTGTCCATGGCGATCGCGCTTAATGGTGAGAAGTTGTCCTCAAGAGAGGCCTGTGTAAATTGGCTTTCCGAGTTTCTTGCCAATAGGGACGCTGCCTTCTACGAGAGGGGTATAATGAAGTTGGCAAAACAGAACGGCGCATATTTGACTTAAATCGGACAAGTTAAACAACAAGTTATCGTGAATTGAAAAATCAATAAAAAAAACCAAATGAACTTTTTGTTTGGCCAATATTTATTTTCAGCATTTGTCATTTTATCCAACCACACATAATTTATTATTTAAATTAATAAAGTTTCCCAAATTTCTTCGAAATAAACTAAATATTTGCAGCAAAGAGAAATGTGAGTTATTTAATTTAACTAAAAACTTTTTTTTGCTTAAATCGTCAGCAGTAGAAACAACAACATTTATGAGCGTTAAAGACATGTCATAAAATGAAGACGCTTTTTTGTCTGCGCCCATATAAAGGTGTGTAAGTATATATATGTATGTAATGTGCGTCAATTTCTAGTTATTAAGGACACTACCACAGCACGGATAAATAATTTCCACGCTTATGCCGCCGCACAGTGTTTCACTGTTGCGTATATTATGGGCAATAATAAAATCAATAAAAATTTGTAATCATAAAAAATATTGGCTCTGGGTCAGTACGATGTTGTTGCAGTCGAACTGATCGAATGTCGTTTTTTTTTTATTCAAACTGGAAAAGTTTTCCATTTTTATAGCACATGAAATCATAGCAAAATGTTTTTTTTAGAGTTATTTGTATGATTTTTGTACATTAAATTGGAATTGAGTAAATTTTTAAAATTTCCAAACAATGATTATGTAGATCTTATTTTACGTTCTCTAAGAAATCTAAATAAAAAAGCATTTTGGTTAAAAGTGCTCTTGACTTACATAATTCTAAATTTGCATTGGCCATTTTTTGCCTTCTGTCAGTATTACTTACGTTCAGCAACAATAATTAACTCACCAACTATTTCTGGGGAATATGGATTATATCATTTGATGAATATAAAATATTCTTTCAGTTATGCTCCAGATATGATTCAAACATGCTTTCTGAATAGTTGTGCGAGAAAATCTGTATTTGCCCTGAACTCAACTCAACAAGGTTTGCTGCCTACAATATGGAAGAAGTCTCTTATAGGACCCTTACATAAGCGTGCTTATATATAGTTCTAATATTCAGAATTATTATTTTGCAAAAATATCTGCTATACCAAAGCTTTTTGAGGCGATCATTACTAGTCATATATAAATTTTCGATCTCCTCTTTACTATCAAATTTTAATTTTGAATTCGAGTCACATATCTCTAAAGCCTTTAGAGATAATATGCAAGCTGACGTTCTCTTCACTGGCTTTAGTAAAGTGTTCGATAGCGTTAATCACACGATTATCATCCATAAACTTGATTTTCTGGGCTTTAAGCCAAGATTTATTCAATGAGTTTCCTCGTTTCTCTGCAATAGAACACAACGTGTGATATTTGAACATTTAAAGACACTTAATGTCTCACCAAGAGTTCTTCAAGATAGCCATCTTGGCCGGATTCTCTTTCTATTATTCGAAAAAGATATATCTTCAGAAATGAAGCGTTAAAATATCTTGTTATATGCTGACGACTTAAAAGTTTTTATATTATAAACCTCATTCGACTAAAGGCGTTTCCTACATAAAGCATCTAGGCAGTTTAGCTATTTGATGTGATAACATTGACATGGCTTTGAACCTTAAGAAATTTAAGACCATGCGCTTTTCACGAATACTTGGTTAACCTTCTCCTTATATAATTAATAATTGCAGTCTAAATCAAAGTTGTTGTTGTTGTTGTTACGGAAAAATATTCCCCAAAGTATTTGTGAGGAATGTTGCGGGAGTGACAGTCCTTGGCCGAATAAAAATACGGCTCGCTCCGGTATAAAGACCCGACTGTCGCGGGAACTATTGGACTGAAGTCGCCTCTTTCGACAGGCATGCTTTACCGCGGTTAAATTCTGGAGCCCCTAGCCCGCAACTTCAACTTTATTGATTTGGAGTTATCATGGGCCCTAAGCACAACTTCCATCTTTATATCAATACTACAGTAGTAAGGGATTTCATAGGTCTTGAAGGCAAAAATTAAGCTTATTTTCTCTAATTTTTTTTAAAAAGATACTAAATAGAGTATACAATTTATTTTGTTTACATATAAAAGTACATTATATGGACAAAATTTGATGAAAATTTTAATGAAAAATACTATGAGTTATAGCAATTATAAAACGTTGGCAGTGTCGTAAAGTAGGCCGTCCACAAGAAAGTGGTTTCGCGGTAGTCAGGTTAACTTTTTCAATTTTGGTCTGAAATCAAAAATCCAAACTTTTTCTTAAAATAGGTGAATTTTCCTTGTCCCTGGCCGAAGAAAAATTAAAAAGGTTAAATTTTGAATTTTTTTTGTAGCGTTTTTTACACAAAACATAATTTTTTGCAAAAAATTAGGCCACAAATTGGCTTGTCAAAAGAGTTGAAATCAAAGATAAAATAAATCCTTCGATCAGGGACTATAAAAACATGATTAGAGAAGTATGAAAATTTTGAACTCGATCGCTTTAATAGTCGCTGAGAAAT